AACATCTAAAGTCGACTTCTGTTAACTTGGGCACTTGCTAACTTGAACCTTGCGGTAACTCGGTCAAAGAAACTATTTCTCCAGCAAAGTTTGAGCAACAGTATATCCAGTTCTAATCAGAAGGTTTGTGAAAATTGTGATTTTGACCAACATCTTTCCCCTCTATGTAATTTCTTGAACTTTAGTCTTGTGTGTTGGGAAGCTTGTCGAGTTTCTGATCACAGCTGCACTGCGTTGTGTTCAAAATACGCGAGTCATAAACAGTTTCAGAAGTCTATTGGGTAAATGTGGCTTGTGAATTTGCAAAAATTGTATCACTGCTTGTGGAAGTTAAGTCTACTTCTTGAGTCACGTTGGGCCGCCTGCATCGCCTAATTTTTGGGAGAAAAAACTCCTAAAATTTATTGATCCTTTTACAGCGACTCGAGATCCCATAAAAGGGCTTAACGTGTATATTGGTCATATCTTTAACTGTAATAACCTCGATTGTCCTATGGAATCGTTTCCGCAGGGATTTCTCTTGGAATAAACTTGCCTTTTTGCCCGGCAACGCGTTTGGTGTGCCTTTCAATTCACTGCACAGGATGTTGGTGATTCGATTTATTGTTTTTCTTTTAATTAATCTCTTTACTTATTTTTACTGTTTTGCTCGATTTGATATCAAAAATATTAAAAAGCCAGAGGTGATAAAGCTATGTACTGTTGTCCTTCATGGTAGTCAAGTTTCCTGTTAGTCGATAAACTTCATTTGAAAATTAATGCCTTTCAGGCAATGAAAAACAAACAATCTCGTTTATTAACACAATTTTCCCTCTGATACGTTCTCGCCTCTGACGTAAATAGTCTTGTAGTTTATTTCCTTCAGTGACTGCTTTGCCTTTTCGGTTAGCTTCCTCAACAGGAACCGTTTGAGGAGAATTCCTTGCGGAGCCTTCTATAATGTGACCTATTTAGATCTACTGTGAGTAGTTTTAATAGTCATTCCATAAGTCCAACTACAGAAGAAAAAAAGAGCTTGGATGCACGTAAAATCGGATAGACCATCACAAAGGCAGCAAATGAAAAAAGTTTACAGATAAAATTTTACGGCAACAGAAAAGGTCAAGATGAACCCTGATCAAACCCACTTTTCTATCACAAAGTTGATGTGTTTCATTCCCAAATTTAAGGAGGCTTTCACAATGTCTTCATTTTTATGGAATCAAGGAGCTCGTTCATTGCCTGATTTTTTTGTAAAGCTTAGAGGCCAGAAAGCTTGACATGCTTCAGAGTATTGTTGCGTTTTACAGTTCATTGACGCAACAACGTTATCGTGCGTTTAAGACCTTTTTGATAAAATAAAATTGTAGATAAGTTCGATTTAGCGTTGGAATGGATATTTTCTTCTTTGAGTAACAAAATCCATTCTATAATTCAATCCACGAACATCGTATGGCGGCTTGGCTTACAGTTCTGATTTGCATTAACTCGTTTCCATTCTATCGAATGGTTGCTATTTAACTACATATCTTGCAGCATCAATACCGAAGTGAATCTCGATTACCGCATGAGATCGAGGCCATGTGTGTCTGTTACTCCAAGATGGCGTTGAATCGCAGAAATTTGCCTTGCCACTGACCGACTTGGGCAATTTCTAAAAGCACGCATACTATTTTAACCCTTGATTCTACTCGTGATTACTTCCGATTTTCCTCTTAGATTTTAGAAACTGTTAATGAGATTCTCTTTACTGGCATGATAAAATCTAATCCTTTTAGCAGGCACTGTCCAGAGCCAACAGCAAAGTACGCTAGAAAACTATCACATACAACAAACTTATTTATGCATACGCTACAAGGCCAGCAGACGGGCATGGTCGGTAGTCATGCAGAAATATTTTTAAACATTTCTGTGAAATGTTCTTTAAAACTTCATTAAACTGAATATGATATGATATTCTAAATTAGATCGAAAAGGGCTGCTTTAGGTGTCCACAGAATACAGATTAATTTGATAGTAAATATGGCAAGACAAAATCAGAACCTTAGTAGCTGTCATTTTATAGAGGGTCTTCTATTTTATCAGACTCGTTACAATTTTTATTTAGAAATATTCCACTGTGATTTTCACTGCTACATATTTATCGTCCTCATTTTATTCCTGTAGAACATTATCTGATAATCCTCTTGAGATTATCGAGCGAGAGGCCTTTCGCCTTGAGTCCCTCAGCGTGAAATTTACACTGTAGGTTTTAAATATGTTTAGAATGATATTCCATCCAGGTGTTACTCATTCAAGGACTTCTTCAAGTTTAATATTTGCTGATCAGA